CTCAACTTCCTTTCCAACTTCCTTTCTGCAGTGGAGGGCCCACAGCTGGACACAGGGCTCCAAATGTGGCCTCCCCAGTGCCGAACTAAGGGGAAGAATCACTCCCTGCAATATGCTGGCAATGCTTCTAGTAATGCTGCCAAGGGATGCCGTTAGCCTGGAAAATTTAAAAAGAGTTAGAGCTGGAAAATGTGCAGTGACTTTATAGCTGGTTTGGCTCCAGCTGTAATTCACTGGCATGGGGTGAATGGTAGAGAGGGCAAGAGCAGCCTGGGCTGCCTTCTCCCATGGGTCCCCTGATTAAAAAAGTTTTAATCTTTTTAAGCACATATCCACTGGGCTCTGTGACTGTGCCCAGCGCCCAGTCTGCCACTCTGCTTGCCCGTTTCCAACAAGGGGCCCAAGCTCCGTGTGGGCATGTGGCCTCTGCCAGCCCGTCTTGCAGGTGGAAGCCTGACGTGTCCACGGATCCACACGTAGCTGAGTCGAAAGTTGGGGGTCTGGGATGTTGCACGCACCAGGCGAAATGGTCGTGGCTGTGCACTCGTGTTGTGTAGCCCGTTCAGGGATCTGGCATGGGGTCTCCCAGCTCCCGTGCAGGCTCCGCTTGCTTTGCAAAAGCCCCTTCACGGGGCCATGCCGGTGGCGGGGAGAAGCCAGACACGACATGGGGGGAGTGTCGGCCGTAGATGTGCCAGAGCTGAGTGGTCCAGACAGCCCCGTCTTTAGCTGTCAGAAATCAGCTCAGTGGCTATCCCAGGTGTGAAGGGCAGGGTAGAGATGCACCTTATAGAGGTGCATAAGCTTTTGCAAGCTTAGGCTCACTTCATCTGATGCTGCATGTGCGCCAAAGCCATCGATGCTCCCTGCCAGCATCCTTGGTTTCCAATCGCTATAGGAAATAAGAGGAAGGAAAACTTGTGCTGCTTCCATACACAGTGGTTGCCTTCGTGTTTCCAGACCCTGAATTTCATTCCCCGCCCCCCCCCTTGACTTTCCAGCTAATCGTGCAACCTAGGCAAGCCCATGGTTGTGCCCTCCCTCGGAGAGATAGTTGCAAACCCTGATTGAATTGCATTTTGTTTCTTCTTTTTGGGTTTCAATTGCCAGTGGTCCAAGGGAAAACCAGCCCGTTTAGGTAGAAATGAATAATGAAACTGCCAGCCCGACCGCATCCCCTCCGTGTAGCAAAGCAGGTCTTTGTAGTCCCACAAAGAAGGGCGGCCGGGACGGTCAATAACTTCTCCCGGATTTATGGCTCAGCGCGGAGCATGTGAATGCTTTAGGTGCCTGCCATTTCCTTTTGTGTTGCAGCGCGTTTCCCCTGTTCGCTGTTTATTTTGCCATCTAATTCCCTTTGACAACAAGGTGGGGGGGGAGCAGGCAGCAGGACAAGGGAAATTTAATTTTAAAACGAAGATGAAAAGCACCAGCTCGGCTTTGATTGAGCGAAGCCAGACGTCCCTACGTGACGGGGAGCGGCGAGGTCGGTTTTCTATTTTTAAGACTTATTTGAACGTGTTTTATTTTTCTGTCTTCTCTTTCTCTTGGCTGTGACCCTGCCTCTCACCCGGGCCCTGTTCCCAAAAGAGCGAGACTCCAGCGCAGTAAGTACCGGTGTATGATTTTTTTTTTTGTTTCATTTTGCGTTGTTTTTTTATTTTAATCTCGGCGTCTGATCTCTGTGCTCTTTTCCTTTATCTATTGTTTTTCAGCACAGGCTTCCAGGTTCAGTCTCCTAAATGATCTCTGCTGGACAAACTGTTTAAACAAAAAAAAAATAAAAGGGG